TGGACTACAATAGTTCATTTCCAGGGCAGTGAGTATATGTCAAAGCCAAGCAGCAGAATTAAGTAAGTTTTTCCACATATATATATTTTGAAACTGCATAAAAGTTTCTAATAAACAAAATCTTTAGCATTTGTGTCGAGTGACTTTCTATGTAAGTAACATAAAATTCATTTCACCATTTCACCAAGACATGTTAGACATTATGCGAGATATAGGGAAATTCAAACAGAATTAAAATAAGGTTTTTGCCTGGAGCTCCAGTCTAGTAGAAAAAGGCAAATAAATAATCACAATGCATCATAATGGGGGTATAACAGAGATATGAACAAAATCCTATGGGAACAAGTTTTTCCTTCTAATAAACCTAACAGGATAGTTTACTACTGCAGAACTATAAAAACATAATAAGTAACAGGAAAATGGTTGATCATCACAGGTCAAGAATGAAATTGACTACATATTATGATGGGTGATATTTTATAAAACATATTGTAAGGCAGATGGGCCAACTTGAAGAATCATGTCTTTCATTTTTGTATTCCAGTATAGTACCTATTATAGTTTTAATCTATGCTGGCAAAATGAATACACACACATGTACATGAACTTTGATGGCTATACAATAGTATACTTCTAAAATTCAGAGATACCAAAATTAAGAGGATATACATTTGAAAAGAACATTTAATACCCAATATATCAGAAAGGTTCACTAAACACACACAAAAAATGAAGTTTAATAGGAATTGGTACTCAAAGTACCTATCCATAACAGACATACATAATTCATTTTTCCATGTTCTTTCCAACTATATAATACCCCACAGAAGACATCTGACAAATACTTGTTGACTCAATACTTACACATTTATAGTACCTATCACACGCATCCTCTCTATTGGCCTAAACTATAACAGCTTTCTATGCATTTCCATTTTTTTCTTTTTCAGAGTAACTTTGGTTAACCTGTTAGTTCCCCAAGATATTGTGATCATGTCAATTTTTTTTTCAGTATCACTAAGTGGTTCCCTAGCATTCAGGATCTTCCATTAAAAAAACTTCTGGCACTAGTATACCACAGATACTACATGGCTGAAACTTTATGAATTTGTACTGACAAAATTAATTATCTGTATGTTTTAAAGTGAGAATGGATCCCTACGCAAAATCAATGTTACATCTGAAAAAAATACAAATATGAAAGAAAATGTAGGATAATTTTAAACAATCTTTAGTCTCCCAGTTGTTGTTTGCTGTTGGGTTTGTTAGAGGCCCACCATGTCCAACAAAGTCTTAGCAATTTGCTAATGACTTATGTGAAAGGTATATTCAGGTTCTGTGCTCCTTTTCTGCAATTCCCTTCCTTTAGTGACTGTTCTTCAACTTCCAGCCTCTATTAGTATTTCCAAACTCTGCCTTGGTTTCTTTAACCTCCTGAGACTATTAAAGAGGCATTCTTTTGCATTCCAATTTGGAAGATGCCTTAAAGGGAAAAGCCAGAATGAAGGTGTTGCTTATTTTAACTGCTTCCTTCTTTGAAGGGCTGTGTCTCTAAGATTCTGCCCACACTGATTGTTTGCCACTGCTCTCAAATTATGTATTTTGTTCAGATTTTAAAGATGTTTCCGGAAGGCGGGCTAATCCAAAGTAAGTAGAGGCCTAGAATTGAAACTTGTTATGAAAGACTCTTGGTGTCTTATTTTTTGATTCCTCCCTTTTACCTTTAAACATTCTATCAATGGTTATCTTATTGTGTGGCTTTTGACATCCTGTAGGTGGTTATTTTATATGGTGTCTCTAAGATACCAGTGTCTGGTGGTTTTCATATACTTAATCTGTCACCTGCAAGCTCATTCTGCTAACTGCTTCCCATGGATTGGGTGATCTTTCCTTATGTGTTTGAAGATTGTGCTAGGTTTCATAAGGAGGGATCCATATGTGTTTGGAGATCATTATGGTTTATATTTAGCTGTACCCCCAAAGCCTCATGCACTCATAGGTGGGGCTTTTGGGAGGTGACTAGATTACTGGATTAGTCCATCAACAGTTTCACAGCTGGGTGTGAAACCTGGTGGTAACAGGTGGGTCACTGAGGGCGTGGCCTGGCTGGGTCTTTCACCTCCTCCCTTGATCCCTTTTTTTCTTGCCTGCTATACCATAAGCTCTTTTTCCTCTATTATGCTGCCCCGCCTTGGAGCCAGCTGACTATGGACTAAAACTTCTACAAACTGTGAGCCAAAAATAAACCTATTCTCCATTAATTTGTGGGTCTCAGGTATTTTGTCCCAGCAATGTGACAGTAACTAAGACAGAGATTTTTCTTTTTCTTCTTCTTCTTCTTTTATTTTTAATGTGGTGGGATCCTGGAGTTTAAATTGAAGATGACTTCTCTAGATGAAGTTGTGTTGGGTGTTTGCTTAGAAGCAGAATGTGTTACAGACCTGGGAAATATTATCTCCTGTTATTTTTTGAAAATTATTTCTAGATTCTTCAATATCTTTTTCCTGCCTGGTCTGTATTTTTTCTGATTTCTTAATAATGGTTCTGTATATGAAACACAAGATCAAACACAATTTCCAATTTTGATTGGGTAAAATCAAATATTAAAGAATTAGTACTGCCTTTGTTCTGGAAATCCTGCTAGTGCTATTATACCGTGAGACTACACCTGGAAGGACAAACTGCAGTAGACAAAGGGGTAAATGTGTAATCATCAGATACTGAAAAGAACATAAAACCTCCTAATTATGAAATCAAGTATGTAAGTTCTAACTTACAATACTGTTTCTTCTTTGATACGATAAAGACATAAAAATTCAACCAATAAACTTACTTTAAAAATTCAAAATTGAAACAAAAAGAAACAACACATTGCACCTTATAAACAGACTTACAGCCACTTGTGTGGTTGTACATAATCCTTCTGTCAACAATTTTGGTCCTGTTTTCTCCCCAAAGATTGTTGGTTCATTAATTTAAACTCTCAACTCCCCATAATCTGTTTCTGTTGTGTTCTTTCAACCCACATTTCTTTTTTTATTTTAGCTTTTTAAAATTAGAATATATTTGTGATACAGAATAATCATGCTTATCTTGGGGATTTGGAACACACACATATTGCTTTTCTTTTTTTCTTTTTTTGATACAGGGTTTCACTACACAGTTCACTTGAACTCACTTTGTAGCCCAGGTTGGCCTCAGACTTGCAGGGATCCTCTTGCCTCAGCCTTTTGAGTGTTGGGATTTAGGCGTGTGCCACCATATCAGAGTTCCACATACTGCATCTTAGTAACTTTTTACTTGCCTTTTCCCTCACGTTGCCTATCATTCCCAGCTCCCCCACTCCATCTCCAAACGCCCTGCCTGTCTTCACAAAGTCTATCTCCCTGTTCCCTATCATCTTTCTTTCATTTTGCTCTTTAAATTATTATTATTGTTGTTGTTGTTATTGGTACTCGGGATCAAACTCACGACCTCGTACTTGCTGGACAGGTGCTTAAACTGCTGAACGAAATCCTCAGCCTCTCTTTAAATTATTTATATTCAGGTTTTTCATATAAAAGAAATCATGAAACATTTTCCTTTCTGTATCTAACTTACCTCATGTAACATTATGGTCTCAAAGTGCATCCATTTTCCTATAAAAGATTCAAAGTTCCAACCTACATTTTTGAAGCTGAGTTTTATACCTACATGAATCATAGTGAAAAACTCTAAAAGGTATCCAACTTTTAATATTAGGGCCATCCTCAATCTAACTGTTTTTAATGATAAGTTAAATGAAGGTACCTCTCATAAGTGAATAATTTTACCAGCTGACAAGCCTAGGTGAGAGGTTATAAATGGTTGGGCAGAAGTTAAAACTGAGATTGAAAATGGAGAGATTTTTTAAAAATTACTATAATAAAAAGCAAATTCAGGAGAATCAACTTTGGAAATAACCTGACAGACCTCGCTGATGACAGCTTGTAACCAGCATATTCAGTTGTGTATCTTAATGTCAGTCTCTTTTCATGCATCCAACGAATGAAAAGGTATTTTTCGAACCCCTCAATTAATCAGCTTTCTCTGGCCGGATATTTTTAGTGGGAAATAACTCTAATAGTTTCTCATGGATCCATCTCATTTTCATTGCTTTTTATTCCAAAACTACAGAAGTCTAAAACAACAACAAAAAACCAACCATGCACTGAAAATGTATCTTATAGACCAATATTTTAAGGGAGGGGAAAATCATTTTTAGGCAAATATTTATCTTACAGGCTTTCTATTTCACATGTCTTTCGAAATGCTTACTCTTAAAAATCTGAGGGTTTTGACGATGTCTTTAAAGATGTGTAATCGATACTGGCAATATAATTATAGGTTTTTAAAAACATTATAATACATTCAGAAAATAAATTTCTTTTTTTTTTTTTGTCTTTTTCATTTTTATCGGTACCGGGGATCGAACTCATGACCGCCTGCTTGCAAGGCAGGTGCTTATGCCGCTGAGCTAAACCCCCAGCCCCAAAAATAAATTTCTTTATGGAAGCATAAAAGCATATATTTCAAAAGAGACTGAAATTTTTATTATAAAAGATTAATGAAGAAAAATTTAAATAGTGAAATGTACAATTCATATGCATTTCCAGCATCCAAACACAACCACTAGCAACATTTCTGTGTGTTTCTTTTTAGTCTTTATTTTTTCTCTACACACAAGTTTTTAATTCACTTTAGTCACAATGTACATATAATATTTTTCCTTTTTTCCCTACTAAATTTTGGATCATGGAATAAATTCCATTTTTTGAGGCATTTAGATAAGTAAATTTAGCCACTGACAGTTATTTGTGTTTTGCTCTCTGTACTTTAAAAAAAATGCTTTTAAAGAAAACAGGAAGACTTAGAGTCATATATTTGTGATCTGTTTATTACCTGTCCATTGCATAGTTCCAATAATTAACCAAAGAATACCACACAGTAGGATTATTCTTCAAGGTAATTGCACTTCTCACCTTTTGAGCTGCAAGATGGAGGGCCGTCCTCTGGCTATGGTCAGTTTTATTGACATCTGCTCCTGCCTTCAGGAGAGCGTCTGCACAGTCCAGTCTGTCTGCCAACACGCAGTACATAAGCGGTGTCCTCCCAAACTGGTCTTCTTTGTCTTTAAGAGCAGAGTTTCCTGCAAGAAACACACAGTGGTATTTGATAGCTGTTGTTACTAACGTAAGTAGAATCTACATTTACTAAGTGCTTATTATTGAGAACACTGCTAAATACCCTGTACCTATTACTTCATTTTTACTTATTCTGTGAGGTAGATATTAGCATTCCTGTATTAGAGCATAGTGAACTGCAGAGAAATTACATAACATATATTCTCATTAAAAATAGTGAAACTAGAATTGAAATTAATTGATGACTCAAAAGACCATATTATTATTCTACTGAGTAAGCATTTTGAGATATGAAGATCCTCCTGTTCTTCCCTCACTCTTTTCTCTTGTCAACAGATACTCATTTAGTGCTAATTATATGCTAGGCATTGTGTAGATTCTTACAAGTGATACGAAATCACCAAGGGTACAAAAGAAATAAATAACACTATAAAGCAGTAGGATCTAGCTGATATTTATTGAACATTTTGTCTAAAGATACCCAAATGTAATCTTTTAAACTACCTATGGAACACTCACCAAAAGAGACCATATACTGTTTCATAAAACCAACACTGAACGATTTAAAGAACTGAAGTCGTGTCAAGCATGTTCTCTGATAATAATGCAATTGAACTAGAACTCAATGACAGAATGATAATAGGAAATCACCAAGTACTTGAGAATTAAACAACATAATCTAGATAATCCATGAATGAAAGAGAAAACTTCACAGGAAATTTAAAAATGTAAATGAATGAACATAAAAATATTGTTGTAAGGTAATTACCTTACATCCAAAGGAGGCTTTAAAGAAAATATACAGGGCTTAATACTTGTATCAGAATGAAAGAATAGTTTTGAATAAAACAAATCTACATTCCTACCTCATTATATTAAGAAAAAAGAGTAAATTTATCCTAAAATGATCAGAAGGAAAGAATCACAAAAATGAGAACAGAGATGACTGAAATGAAAACTACAAAAAATAAGAAAATCAGTGAAGCTAAAATTCTTGAAAATAAAACTGAAAGATTTGTAACTGGATTATTAAAAACAGTAGACGCAAATTTCCAATATCAAGAATGAAAGAAGGGTTGTCACTATAGAGCCTGCAGATATTAAAAGGCAAACAAGAAAATTATAAATAATTTTTTGCCCATAAATTTCTAAAGCCAGTCGTGGTGGTGTATGTCTATAATCCTATCAGTAGGGAGGCTGAAGCAGAAGGATCACTTTAAGTTTGAGTTCACTGGGCTACATAGTGAGCTTGAACTGCATAGCAAGACCCTGTCTCAAAACAAACAAAATTTATAATTTAACTGAAATGAATAAATTTCACAGAAAACAATCTATCAACGTTCACTGAAGATATGAATACTCTCCTTAGTACTTACAGCAGAAAAAATTCTTAGGTGGTACCCCAGATACACGCTCCCTGACCTATCTGCCCTATATGATCTCCTCGTGAGGGTGGGCAAGGTCTATAAATACATCATTCCCTTCTCTAAGTTCCATTACGTGGCAAGCATGAGCAAATTTTGCAGATGTAATTAAGGTGAGTAATCATTTAATCTAATCATAAGAGAGATAGTTTGGGCCCCTTTCCTTTTCTCCTTGTCTCTCTCTCTCAGTCTCTGCTGTGCTCTCCCATTTTCCTCTCTCTCTGTCTCTGTCTCTCTGTCCGTCCGTCCGTCCGTCCATCTGTCTGTCTGTCTTTCTGTCTCTCTTGTCCACCCTCTCCCAATAGAGCTTGAGCTCATGGACATGTGTATGTTAGGCAAGTACTCTGGAACTGAATTGGATCCCCAACCCTTGGATTGCTTTTTGAAAGATGATGTAGAGGTCAGAGCTGGAAGTTGGAGAGTTGTCAAGCAGCAGATATATTTTCCTGCTGCCTTTTGAGATGCAAGCTGCCATAAAATTTAAAGCTGCAAGAAGACAAATTCAGCCAACTTGTACTTGGAAGAGCATACCGAGTCTCATCCTTGCTGATAGTCTGAAGCTCTGTGAAACTCTAAGCAAAAGACTCATCTAAGCCATGTCTAGATTCCTGACCCACAGAAATTGTGAGGTAATAAATTATTTTTGTTTTAAACATTTGTTAATGTGTCATACAGCAATAGAAAATTAATGTATGATATATACTACAAAAAGGAGATTAATAATTAATCTTGTCTAAAAGCACTACTAAGATCAGAGTGTTGAAAAATTTTCAGAAGCAATTTTTATACAAATAGACAATGTGGTTTACAAATTGTTATGGAAAGACAAAAGATGTAGGAGGAAAAGTTTTTGGAAAAGGATAAAATTGGAGGATGGACTGTGTAATATATCTACAGAAATGAAGCTACAGAAATGAAGTCAGTGTATTAGTGGCAAAGGAACAGACACATAGATCAATGTAGCAGAGGTGAGAGTGTAGAAACAGACTCATGTACACTATCAGTTGATTTTTGTGTCTGTGTATGTGGTTGAACCAAGGCATGCTCCACCACTAAGCTATATCTCTGGCTCTTTTTCTTTTTCTTTCTTTACAGGGTCTTGCTAAGCTTCCCAGGCAGGACTTGAACTTGAGATCCTCAGCCTTCCTCAGTGCTGGGATTACAGACATATGACACTGTGTCTGGCCTATGACAAGCTGATTATGACAATGCTACAAAGGCAAACAAATGGACAGCCTTTTAAATAAAAGGAGCTGGAAAACTTTGACATTCATATGGAAAACCTAAAACCAAAACCAAACCCAAATAAAAAACAAAAAAACCTCTTGACTGCTATAACAAAGAACCAGAGACTGGATAATTGATAAAAAAAAAAAAAAACCCAGAAGTTTATGTAACATAGTTTTGGAGGCTGGAAGTCTAAGATTAGGATATTCACATTATTGGGTTCTAGTGAGGGTTCTCTTCTGATGGAAGACTAGTAACGTCTTGTATCCTTACACAGTAGAAAAAGAGAGGTTTGCAACTTTCTGAGGGCTCCTTTAAGGGTACTAATCTCACTCAGGAGAGTGGGCACTGATCCATTCTTATGACTTAAATTATTTCCTAAAGTAATATAATCACATGAGAAGGGAGGAGGTGGTAGGACTTCAACATGAATTTTGGAGAAGCATAAACATTCGGTCCATAATAGTGCTATATAAAAATTTACTTCAAATGAATCAAAAATTTACTTCAAATGAATCAAAAATTTAAATGTAAAACCTTTAACTATATAAGTCTTAGACTCAAACGAAGGTAAAAATTTTTGGGATCTTGGGATAGGTCAAGATTCCTTAGATATGATACTTAAGAAAAATACATAATTAATCAAATTTCATCCTAATTAGAACAAAACCTTTCTGTTTGAAAAACATTGTTAGAAAGTAAGACGACAAGGCACAAACTGGAGTAAAATATTTTCAAGACACATATCTGATAATGCCTTATTTCCACAGTAAAGAAATCCTAAAATTGAATAATAAAAAGACAGATAATGAAATTAAAAGATGAGCAAAAGGTCTGAATAGAGATTTCATCAATAAGCGTATGAAAAGACTTACAACATCATTAATACACAGGGAAATGCAATTTCAATCCACGCTGTGATACCAGTCCAAGTCTATTATAATAGCTAGAATGAAAAACAACAAAAGCAAACTCGGCACTATCAAATGCAGATGAGAATGCAGAAATACCATAACTCTGGAATGTTTGAGGATGGGAAGGCAAAACACCACAGTCACTGTGGAAAACTGTTTATCCGTTTCTTATTGACTCTAACACAACTTACCACGTGGTCTGAAATCACTCTTTTATGTATTTACCCAGGAGAAATAAATGCATGAAAGTTTGTGCTCACACAGAAAACTCTACGTGGTTGTTTATGGTAGTTTTATTTATAATTGCTAAAAGTTGGAAGCATCCTATTCATTCTTCAACTGGAAAATGAGGAAATAATGGTAGTATATCCCATACAAAGGAAAACTTCTCAGCAACACAAAGGAATAAACTACCGATTCACCAGGCAACGTGGAAAAATTCCCAGTGCTATCTGCCAAGTGAAAGAAATCAGTCTTAAAGAGTACACATTGCATGATGACTTACACAGCATTCTGGGAAAGATAAAAATATAGAAGCAGAAATGATAAAAATAGAAATTAATGCAATTGAGGCTAAGAAAACAATACAAAGAATCAGTGAATTGGAGAGTTGATCTTTTGAAAGATTAAATAAAACTGGTAAACCCTTAGCCAACCTTATTTTAAAAAAATCTCAAACTCATCTAATTAAGAATGAAAAGGGAGAAGTCAGTAGCTCCTGGGGAAATCCAGAAGACTATCAATACCCACTTTGAGAACCTTTACTCTAATAAGATGGAAAACACAGAAGAAATAGATTCCTAGATGCATATGAATTACCAAAGTTGAATCAAGAAGATATAAAAATTCTAAATAACCCAACATGAGTTAAGGAAATAAAAATGTAATTAAAAACTTACCAACAAAGAAAAGCCAAAGACCTGACAGAGTTACTGCAGAATTCTACAAGAAATTTAAAGAACATCTATTACCATTACTTCTCAAATTCTTTAATAAAATTGAAAGGGAAACAGTACTCCCAGGGTCATTCCTGGAAGCAAGTATTACCTTCATAACAAAACCAGAGAAGGACTTAACCAAAAAAGAAAACTATAAGTTAACCCCCTAATGAATATAAATGCAAAAATCCTCAATAGGATACTGGCAAAAAGAATATAGCAAATCATCAAGAAGATTATACACCAAGTAGTATTCATCTTGTGGATGTGGGGATGGTTCAACACACACAAATCAATAAATGCAATATACCATATCTACAGAGCCAAAGACAAAGATCATGTAATCATCTCAATAGATACAGATACAGCATTTGACCAAGTCCAACACTGTTCATGACAAAATTGCTACAGAAAATTGGAATAGATGGTTTGTCTTCATGTCAGTCTGATAAAAGCCATCCATGACAAACCAAAGCCAACATCATACTAAATGGTCAAGGGG